AGTTATAAGTTATAATCAGAACAAAACTTACAATTATATTTTTATCATCTCCATAATTCAGTTGGTACAAATAAGATAAATATTTTCCATGAACTAAAAGTACATGCATATATGGAAAATGAATCAATTGAAACTAATTCTGATTTAATATTGAATCGTGTAATTAATTATCAAATTTTAGTTTACACGCGATCCTTTTTTTTATGTTGTTGCGTTACGAATTAAACATCTTAAATAAATCAAATGCGCTTGTAAACGTAACACTGACCTAACTCAAGGCTCTCACTGAATTTGATTATCTTATAGTGTTCAAGGTTTTTTTCGCATGTTTCTAAGCAAAAGTTATCTTCGAGATTCCTCTCGCTGAATTTATTTATCTCTATTGTATTGTATTATATTTATCTATCTCTTGATACTTTGTAATCAATAATAATAATGGACAAATCTTACTTTACGTTTGTTATAAACGTGTATAAATTAATGTTATGAGTAATATTATGAGAACCTAATTATAAAAAGAACACGTGAAATATTTATAGGAATAATTATGATTTATAGTATGATCATTGAAGCTTCGAATATTTCTTTATGATTCATAAATAATTAAAGTAATTTTCTGTTGTATAAATGATTGCGTAATTTGCTTTTCAAATGAGTGAACTTCATCAAAAAATATTGGAGCGAAAAAAATTTATTGTAATTAATTCTTTCATGAAAGTAAATCAGAAGCAAGCAGAAATGATTAATACTACGTTAATACATTTAGTAATTTATTGTTAGTAAGTTTTGTGGTAAAATTGACATCAAATTTATTTATACATCCATAATATAAAATAGGCGATATTCCAATGTACAAAATTAAAAAATAATTGCTTCACTCTATAGAATAATGTTTATGGAATCATTGTTAAATAATGTTACTCCTTTATTCTTATTAGTATGAGAGAAAAAGTAATTATTATTTTTATTATTATTTAAAAACAAAGATTAAACAAGTAACAATTGTTTTGGAAATAATTTAATCGATAGAGAAAAGTATAGAATCTCAATGCTTTAAAGAAGGTTGAAACTTCAATATTAAAAGATAACACAACTGTGGTTCATTCTTGACTCTTATCTGAGACTGATAACAGCCATACCTCGTTTTCACGTATGTATAACATTGACTCATCGTAATTTTTAGCATAGTTTGAAGATTTTTACATTTAAAATTTTGTGGGACCAAGTGGTAAAGCCATGTAATGAGAAATGTTTCAACTTGGTAATACGTGTCACAATGTTGGCAAATAAGAAAGACTTTTGGATAATTAAGAGTGGAGGTAAAGCAGGAGAACTGGAACATTTTACTCTTACATCTTGCAATATAAATTTGGAAATGCTAATATATGAAAATTCTAGGTATTTTCGCTTAAATTCTTTCCCTGTAATGAATAATGAAGTAAACCTGAAGCTGAAGACCATATAGGATTTTATCGGTTGATTTTAATTAAAAGAATCGCGGTTTTTATTGGGCCTTACGATATAGAAATATCTGCTTACGTACGGCAAGCATTCTAGGACACGAGAGAGTGACGTCATGCATGTGCCTCGTACGTGCTGATTTTTCTTCTTTCAATCCGCGGTATATTACATTTCGTACCGCGTTCCGAAAATCATGAAAATTTTAAAAATCATGGCCGACACTATCACTAAGATATGAAATTTGATTACCTACGCAATATCAATTCCTTTGGTTTGTCATAAAAATTTAAATGAATTCACAAATTCATACTAAAACTGGATCATTATCTCTTCTAGTTTTTAAATACTTGTTGAGACACGTTGGAAAGT